TTTGCTAGCAAATATGGCTGAAACTACAGTGTAGGAATCGTGTTTGGGGATTATATACATGGAAACCACAGTGACTAGTAATAGAAAAAGTTTAGAGGCCTTTGGCGTGGAGTTAAGCTTTAAGGGTTAGAATTGGGTGGGAATTGAAATGCTTTATTCTCTCTGTAACCACATTAGAAAATTACTCATTCCTATTGTCAGTAGGTAGTTCCGAGTTGTCTTTTTCACTAAGGTTGGATTATCCTTTGTCTTGTGACAGTTTCACATTATGTTAAGTAAAATTTAGTAGGAATATATACTTTATGGTTTTGACTGTTCCACCTTAGAACAAAACATATTTGTTAAAAGGCAATTGAAAATATCCAGGAAGTGTGAGGACTTCTGTACAATACTTAAATGAAGGGGGGAAAAGGGAATGTTTGGTGTTATAAGTAGACAGCTAAGCAGAAATATGATCCAAATCTTTGAAATTGATGAGAGATAAATAGCTTCTAATTGGTAGGCAATTTTTTTTGTTTTTGTTTTTGTTTTTTTTTTGAGATGGAGTTTCACTCTTGTCACCCAGGCTGGAGTGCAATGGCACAATCTTGGCTCACTGCAACCTCCGCCTCTCGGGTTCAAGCGATTCCCCTACCTCAGCCTCCTGAGTTGCTGGGACTATAGGCACACACCACCACTCCCGGCTAATTTTGTATTTTTAGTAGAGATGGGGTTTCACCATATTGGCCAGGCTGGTCTTGAATTCCTGACCTCAGTGGATCCACCCACCTCGGCCTCCCAAAGTGCTGGGATTACAGGTGGGAGCCACCGCTCCCTGCCATTGGTAGGCAATTTTACCTACCAGGTAGGAAAATTTTGGAATTTACTACTTCAGAGGTAGAATAGGCCAAACATATAAATTGATTTGAAGTTTAGAGAAGTTCATGGATGATAAGTTTGATCAATAAAAGACAGTAGAGGATGTTTAACTGTCAGTAACTTTTGAGAGTATTTTGCGGGAACACAAATCTTTCTGGATTATGACTGTGACATAGTATTGACAGAGACTTTTGCTCTGGGTAGGTGAATTTCATATTTTCCTATTCAAAACAAGACACAAGTTTCTTAAATCTAGCTATTTACTTACTAATGTCCTTCCTTCCTTCCTCCCTCTCTCCCTCCCTCCCTCCCTTTTCTCTTCTTTCCTCTTTCTTTCTTGTTGCCCAGGCTGGAGGGCAATGGTGTGATTTCGCCTCACTGTAACCTCCGCCACCCGGGTTCAAGGGATTCTCCTGCCTCAACCTCCCGAGTAGCTGGGATTACTGGCATGCGCTACCACACACAGCTAATTTTATATTTTTAGTAGAGACAGTGTTTCTCCATGTTAGTCAAGCTGGTCTTGGACTCACAGCCTCAGGTGATCCACCCACCTCGGCCTCCCAGAGTGCTGGAATTACTGGCATGAGCCACCGCGCCTGGCACTTACTAATTTTCTCCCTAATTTTAGTGTCTTCAGGTATAACCAGTACTATAACAGCCTGCCTGTGGTGTTAAAAGATTTATCATATCAAGATTCAGCAGTTAAAAAAAAGATTCAGCAGTTTTGCATTGCTGTGTAAAGCACTGCTTTCTCAACTGTAATGTGCATACCAGGAGATCTTGTTGAAGTGCAGATTTATGTTCAGTCAGTCAAGGATGGGACCATAAAATCTGTTTCTTACAGTTTCCTCAGTGATGCTGATGCTGTTGGTCCAAGGATAAGGATGCAGAGCATGAAGCATACATCCTCTGCCTCCCCTATAGCCCTGTTGCTGCTCAGTACTGGGAGCATGCAGTTCCATTTTATTTTCCCAATGTGTTACCTTTGTCCTGGTGGCACTGACCTTCTTCCTTGTCCTCGACATCTTACATGAGTTGAATATGTGTATTTTGTTTCTGTTCTCCCGTTTTAATTAATAAGGTTCCCCAATATCAACTCCAAGCCCATCACCATTGCCTCGAACCCCGACTTCCACTCCAGTTCACGTGAAGCAAGGCACTGCCGGCTCTGTTATTAATAATCCTTATGTTATCATGGACAAGCAGTCGGGGCAGATGATTGGAGCCAGCACTCCCAGTACAGGTGTGTATGTGATCAATATTTGTACAATCCAAAGGGTTTGATCTTTTTATTTTATTTTTTTTTTTTTTGAGACGGAGTCTCGCTCTGTCGCCCAGGCTGGAGTGCAGTGGCCGGATCTCAGCTCACTGCAAGCTCCGCCTCCTGGATTTATGCCATTCTCCTGCCTCAGCCTCCCGAGTAGCTGGGACTACAGGCGCCTTCCACCTCACCCGGCTAGTTTTTTGTATTTTTTAGTAGAGACGGGGTTTCACCGTGTTAGCCAGGATGGTCTCGATCTCCTGACCTCGTGATCCGCCTGCCTCGGCCTCCCAAAGTGCTGGGATTACAGGAGTGAGCCACCGCGCCCGGCCTGATCTTTTATTAAAAACGTAATCCTGCCTTTACTTGGTAGCCATGTAATTGGAGAATGAAATCTCCTGTAAACGAGAAGCGAGAATACATAAAAGGAAAGCCAATACTGTTCCTCTGAGGGGATATTTACTCTGTAAAAGGTGCATTTTTTAGAATTTACTTGAGTTTTCTTTTAATTTCTAAAAATTCAAAATAAGCCGTAATTAATGTTCTTAAAAGAACAGTTGATTTTGTTTTCATTTGGAAGACTTACTCTTTGGGGGACTGTAAGCAATGTGGTTACTACCTCTTCCAAAGAAGCTTTTGCTAACATTGTGGGCCACATACATTTCTCCCCAGTCAAATAAAAAAGTGATACTATTTTCTTCAGAGAAGACCCATTCTGGTTATGAGAGGAGAAATTGAAACCTTCAATTTTAAAGAGAACTCTAATAGGAAGAAGTCATCTTTGGATTCACCGTGTTCCTCATTATAATCCCATGCAGCTGTATCATGCTTTTTAGGTTTTTTTGAAATGCTTTCCCTAACATTATTTTATTTATTCCCTTCAGTTAGCCTATATTTATTATTAATTAATTTATTTATTTATTGAGACAGACTATTGCTCTTTCACCCAGGCTGGAGTGCAGTGGTGTGATCTCGGCTCACTGCAGCCTCCACCTCCCAGGTTTAAGCGATTCTCCTGCCTCAGCCTCCCATGTAGCTGGAATTACAGGCGTGTGCCACAACGCCCAGCTAATTTTTGTATTTTTAGTAGAGACAGGGTTTCACCATGTTGGCCAGGCTGGTATC